TGTGTGTCTCTCTCTCTGTCCCTCACCTGCTAGCACTTTTTCTCTGAAAAATAAATAAAACAGGGGCGCCTGGGTGGCTTAGTCGGTTAAGCGTCCGACTTTCGCTCAGGTCATGATCTCGCGGTTCGTGGATTCGGGCCCCGCGTCGGGCTCTGTGCTAACTGCCAGCTCAGAGCCTGGAGCCTGTTTCGGTCTGTGACTCCCTCTCTCTCTGACCCTCTCCTGCTCACGATGTCTCTCTCTGTCTCTCTCTCCTCTAGAAATAAATAAAAATTAAAAATAAATAAATAAATAAAACATTAAAAAATTAATACAGAAGATGAGGGTGGTAAAGGAACACATTAAAAAATAGACAAGGAAATAATTGGACAAAGTCTGAGTGCTGGACATGATATACAAAATTGTTCTTCACTCATCAAAAAGACAGTGTCAGGGGGAAAAAAAGAGCCAAGATACTCTCATAGATTAAAAGAAATACAGTAATAAAATACAATGTGTAACCTTGATTGGCTCCTGCTTGGGAAGGAAAAAAAATGGCTATAAAAGACATTTGGGGCCTAAGTGGGAAAATTAAAATAGTTTTTTAATGTTTATTTATTTTTGAAGGAGGGAGAAAGACAAAGCGTGAGCCCGGCAGGGGCAGAGAGAGAGGGAGACACAGAATCGGAAGCAGGCTCCAGGCTCTGAGCTGTCAGCACAGAGCCCGACGCGGGGCTCGAACCATGAACCATGAGATCATGACCTGAGCAGAAGTCGGACGCTTAACCAACTGAGCCACCCAGGCGCCCCTATAAGTGGAAAAATTTAAATATGAACTGAGTATTGGGGAATTATTATTACTTAACTGGCTTAGATTTGATGAGGATATCATGAATATGTAGGAGAATGTCCTTATTCTTAGATGATATATTTTGAAATATTTAAGGGTTAAATGTCAAGGTATCTGCAACTTATTTTCAGGTAGGTCCAAAAATAAAAGTATTATATTGAAAGAGAGAGAAAACAAATATGACAAAAGGCTCATAAGTGGAGCAAATGTGGATACTCCCTATAGTATTCATTCAACTTTCTGGGTGTTTGAAATTTTTCAAATTAAAAAAAAGATTGGGAGAAAAGTTTTAAAAGTGGGGGAAAAAGCAAATTAGGAGAAAATAATAGTTAACATATTTATGGTTATGCCATGGAGAAAACCTTTAAAGTATTATTCAGAAGCAAAAACCATTCAGTTAAAGACTCACAGCATCCGACTTCTGCTCAGGTCATGATCTCACGGTTCGTGGGTTCGAGCCCCGCGTCGGGCTCTGTGCTAAGTTGCTCATCGCCTGGAGCCTGCTTTGGATTCTGTCTCCCCCCCACCCCATGGCCTCTCCCCTGCTTGTGTTCTCTCTCTCTCTCTCTCTCTCAAAAATAGTAAATAACTAAATACTTAAAAAAAAAAAAGACTCCCCGATTTAACTAAGTACAAATCCATGCACCACATTTGACAAGAAAAGCTGAATATTCTTGTATTCCAGTCCTGAGAACTCAAGAGGAAAATCAGAAATATGGAAAAACAGAGCCCAGTCCGAATATCCCTTCACGCCTGGGCTCTCTTAGGCAAATTCCTAAACCTCCTGGAACCTCTGTTTTCTCATCAGTATGGGTACCGGTGACAACTACCTTAAGGGGCTGGTGTAAAGACTGGAGACCTTGTCAAGTACCTGGTCCTGTGCCTGGCACGATCATTTCCTTCTTCTGTGTGTGTCCGTGCATTATAGCCCTTTAGGCACACTTGCCAAAACTGGAAACAACCCTGTTATGAACTGAAGAGTATCTCCCACCTCCAAATAAAAATATGTTGAAATCCGGAACCCCAGAACGTGACCTTATTTGGAAGCAGGGTCATTGCAGATATGATTAGTTGAGGGATGCGATCGCACTGGAGGAGAGTGAATCCCCTAACATGACTGGTGTCCTTATAAGAAGAGGGAAATTTAGACACAGACATACCAGAGGCAAGATGGATGTGGAGACACATTAAAGAAAACTGCCGTGTGACCGCAGTGATGCATCTACAAGCCGTGGAGCGCCAAAGATTGTCAGCAACTCCCAGAAAGTGGCAAGAGGCAAGGAAGGATTTTCCCTTAAAGGTTTCAGGGAGATCGTGGCCCTGCTGAGACTTTAATTTAGGACTCCCAGCCTCCAGAGCAGCGAGATAATTAATTTCTGTTGTTTTAAGCCACCCAGGTTTTGGTATTTTGTTACTGCAGTCCCTAGAAAACTAATGCTAACCCAAACACCCTCTGATGGGTGAATATAAAACAAACTATGGCACATCTATACAAAACAATACAACAGGAGCGAATCACAAAGGCATGCTGAGTGAAAGAAGCCAGTCGCCAGAAGTTACATCCTGTGTGATTCCATTTATGTAACATTCTGTTAAAGGCAAGCCTAGAGGGACATAGAACAGCTCACCGGCCGAGGGGTGGGGTGGGGCAGGGCCAGAGTTTGAGTACAAAGGGGAGGCGGGAGGGACATTTTTGGAGTCAGAGCTGCTCTGTGCCCTGATTGTGGCTGTGGTTACATGAATCTATGTATGTGTTAACACTTACAGAGCTGTAGGTCCAAAGGGAGTGGATTTTATGGTCTGTTACTTTAGATATTAAAAAAAAAAAGATACACACACACATATGCTGAAATAAGTATCTTTTTAAAAATGCTTTAAAAAAAATAAAAGTGCTTTAAAAGTGGGGCACCTGGGTGGCTCAGTCTGTCAAGCGTCCGACTCTCGATCTCGGCCCATGGGTCGTGAGTTCAAGACCTGCATCGGGGCTCCGCGCTGCTGGTACAGAGCCTGTTTGGGATTCTGTCTCTCCCTCTCTCTGCCCCTCCCCTGTTCGTGCGCTCTCTCTCTTTCTCTCTCTCTCAAAATAAATAAACAAACTTAAAAAAAAAAAAGAATTGGTACAAATATCTTAAAAGAAATCTCCCATCTGGGTGTCTGCCAGGAAGGCCGCTTTGTGAAGGCTCTGCAGCACACCAGCCCTTGTGTTCTGTGAGCCTGATCTTCCATCCGTAAAAGGAAGGAGTCCATCTAGAGCAGTGGTCTCCACAGCATCCCCCCTTACTCGCACCCCAAATTGTGTCCTTGGGCAGTCCTTTTATGGAAGTGGGGGTGGGGCTGGAACACTGGCTGTGACGGTCAGCAATTCTGAATGAGGCCTTTGGCAAAGGTGGGGCTGGGCGGGGAGGGGGGGGCTGGAATTGTTACTTCTTGTTTCTTGTTTGCTGGTGGATGAAACACACCGAGACAATGGGAACTCCTAAAAGGCTCTAAATCCAGGCTGCTCTGAGGTCGGGTCAGAATCTTAAAAGCACTTGTTTTTACACCCAGGAGGAGTTTTGGGAAAAGCCCCTGGTAGACTTTGTGCCCAGGTAGGGGAAATGGCATTGTGAGGATGAATGGCAGACCTCCAGTCCCCAGGGCCAAAGAGGATCATTAATAACAAGAGCTCCTCTCTACTCTAAGCATTAAACCATTCGTGTGCTGGGTAAAATGCTAAGGACTGGAATCCCTAAGACAACCCTGTGAGGGTTATCTGTTCCTGCCTTAACAGGTGAGGAAACAGCGGCTTTGAGGCGCCCCAGACCACAAAGAGTGTCAGATGTGACAGGGCTGTGTCCTGGCTAGTGGCGCCAGCCTTCAAAGTCAAGACCCGCGAGAGGAACCCTTGAAGCCTGGTATCAGGCCCGCGGTCTCTCTCTGCACATTCCCTGGGTGGGGGGGGGGGGGGTGAAGGGGATTGATGTTCCTTTTCACCAAGGCTGGTGGAGGTTGTCAAGGTGCCCTTGAGGCTTTGCCATATAGTAGAGCTCAAAATCAAAATCGTTTCAATTTTAGATCATGGAATGGCTTTTTTGAAAACTATTTCAGGGACACCTGCATGGCTCAGTTAGAGCTCCGGCCTTCGACTCAGGTCATGATCTTGGTTCATGGGTTCCAGCCCCACATAAGTAAGGCTCTGTGCTTACAGCTCTGAGCCAGGAGCCTGCTTTGGATTCTATGTCTCCCTCTGTCTCTGTGTCCACCCCCCTCCACTGCCCCCTCCCCTGCCCCCTTCCCCCAGCCCCCTACAGCCCCTCCTCCCCTGCCCCCCATCTCCCCCAGCCCCTCCCTTGCCTCCCGTCTCCCCCCCCACTCCCCCCGCCCCCGTTTCCCTTCCCCATCCCACCCGGTCCCCCCCACATCATTCTCCATCTCTCAAAAGTAAACATTTTTAAAGGTTTTTTTTTTTTTTTTTTTTTATTTCTAGGAGAGAGAGACAGCGTGAGCAGGGGAGGGTCAGAGAGAGAGGGAGACACAGACTCTGAAACAGGCTCCAGGCTCTGAGCTGGCAGTCAGCACAGAGCCCGACGCGGGGCTCGAACCCACGAACTGCGAGATCACGACCTAAGCGAAAGTCGGTCGCCCAACCGACTAAGCCACCCAGGCGCCCCAACATTTTTAAAAAACCCTATTTTATAGGCAAATCTAATCTGGAAAACCAGAGTTGGGCCACTGTGGTTAAAGGTGGGGGCAGGGCTGGCTTGAGGTTCCCCCAGGGCTCCCGGGGTGCACCCCAGTAAAGGCCACTTACAAGAAGTTGGCACTTACTGTGAGAAGTCCAGGTGCTGCCTTGATGTCTAATGCTCTGACTTTGGACTGGAAAGAACCGGGTGGGATCCCGGGGCGGGGGGGGGGGGGGGGGGGGGGGGGGGGGGGCGGGGGGGGGGGGGGGGGGGGGGGGGGGGGGGGGGGGGGGGGGGGGGGGGGGGGGTGGAGGACTCCCTCCTGGGCTCTTTAGCCTAGGGCAGGGCACGGCACACCGGTCCCTCTGAGGCGGGCCCCACCTTCCCACCCTCCCCTCTGGCCAGGCCGGGTCAGCCGTGACCCTGACATCTGCTGACTGGGCCTCCACCAACACTACCCCTCACCACCCCCCACCCCCGCTCCCCGGATACGAAACGCCGTCACCACGTCACATTTAATGAATTTTATTCTTTAAAGATAAAGCGTACTCAGCTAGAAAGTCTAACAACCCTCCCTTTCGGCTTGCCCTTCTAAATGGCGCCACGCAGGCTTCTGTACCAGCTAAGGTTCAACGACGGGTTCAATGGCGGCGTCACCCGGTCAGCAGATGTCAGGGGCCCGCCGGCTCGGCTCCCTACGGCATCATCAAGCGGACCTCCTTCTCGTAGATGTCAGGGATCACGCCCACCGGGGAGTTGACCATGTGCACGGTGTTCTTGCTGAACAGCTTGAACTCGTAGTGGATGAGCTGCTCCCAGAAGCCGTTGTTGGGCCGGATGATGGGACGGCACGACTTGGTCCACGTGTGGGCGTCCAGCAGCGACATGGCGTGGTACTTCATGAGGTAGGCCAGGCAGAGCGCGGCCGAGCGGCTCACCCCCGCGGCGCAGTGCAGCAGCGTGCGGCCCTGCTTCATCTCCACGCTGTGGATGTGGTCGGCGATCGGGTCGAAGAAGTCGTAGAGGCGCGAACTCGGGGCGTCGGCCACTGGCACCTGGACATACTGGATGTCTTCGTACAGGGTGTTGACCACCTCCGCCGACACGTTGATGACCGTGGTGATGTTGTTGCTGGCCAGCATGCCCTTGTTGTTGGCAGCCGCACCGTTGCTGATGTACAGGCTGCTGGTTATCTGCGACAGGCCGTGGACCGTGGGCTGCCGGGTGGCCTGAGCCGGGAGGGGAGCCGGAGACGTTGTCATCACGGCGGCCGGCAGTGATCTCTCTCCTGGAAGGTTCGGGGCACCGAACTCTGACGATCTCACGAAGCGCAGTGGCAGCTGTGAGGTCTCAGGCGAGGGTCGGGGGGTAGAGAAGGCCTGTCCCAGGTCACCACCCCTTCCCCGCCCCCGGGGGCGTCACAATCCTCCCGCCCGGCCCACCAGTTTCCACGGCAATGGCAGCCTGGCCACGCAGCCCTGTCTTCAGAGAAATCCCACAGATCTCTTTTTATCTCTCTTCATAGGCCGTCCCTCCCCGAGCCCCAATTCTTATCTGCTGGGCGTTTTAAAATGTCCTATGACAAGATATCCCGTATATGCTTCAATTGTTGGTTCACACGGAACCCAGGATCCATGAATGCTTCTATTTTATTAGCAATGGAGAACAGGGCTGAGACTCTTTCCACAAAGTAGCAATAGCACAATCTTAAACTGGGGAACGGCATTTGGCTCATGCGATATGCCAGCCTCTGTAAAACTGTAGCGAGATACGGGTCTGATACTTCTTTGTCCACTGTAGCCATAGGATTTTGGCGTTGCTTCGCAAGCACGTCAGAACCGCTCAGAACATTGCTAACTCATCAATAGCCCTTTATCTGTTGTGAAGTTGGCCCATGGTGGACAGTTTGCGCTGACTTAGCAGGGTCCCCGTCCATTGGTGCACGTGGACCAAACGACTTGTCAACCCGATACTGCTTCATCACCTGCCCAAATTGTCTGTGTTCTTCAAAAAGAGTGCCTGGGGGGCGCCTGGGGGGCTTAGTCGGTTAAGCGTCCGACTTTCGCTTAGGTCATGATCTCGCGGTTCGTGGGTTCGAGCCCCGCGTCGGGCTCTGTGCTGACTGCCAGCTCAGAGCCTGGAGCCTGTTTCAGTCTGTGACTCCCTCTCTCTCTGACCCCCCCTCTCTCTCTCTCTCTCTCTCTCTCTCTCTCCTAGAAATAAATAAAACATTAAAAATTAAAAAAAAAAAAGCTTTAAAAAAAAAAAACACAAAAAGAGTGCCTGGTAAAAATTCTGAAACAACTCCATGCTGCCTCATCATTGGGCCAAAAATAGATTTTTGAAATGCTACCTGAGATTTGCAGTTCAGCTCAGCTAAGATTTTTGTGCTGTGCTGTGACTAGGGGCCAGGGCTAAAGGGATGCCAGCCTGTCCACGAATGGGCAAGGGAATGATAACCTCAAAAGACGACAAGGTTTTCGTTTCCTTGATTGGCATAATCAGATCACTTTGCATTACTTCAATTGGCAGTCTCCACAAATCTATCTGGAGGAAAACAGAACCCAAATATTAAGTAAATATGAAAATTGTCTATTGGAGATAGCTCCATTGGGCTAAAATTATTGGAGACGGTTTTGCCTAACATTTAAGATACTGGGATCACAGGGGCCCCTGGGTGGCTCAGTTGGTTAAGCGTCAGACTCTTGATCTCAGCACCGGGTCATGATCTCACAGTCCATGAGTTCAAGTCCGGCATCAGGCTCTGTGCTGACAGTGTGGAATCTGCTTGGGATTCTGTCTCCCTCTCTCTTTGCTGCTCCCCCGCTTGCTCTCTATCTTTCTCTCAAAAATAAATAAAAATAAACTTTAAAAAACAGAAGATATGGAATCAGAGATTGTACATCTATGGAATGATGTGGAACCACTGAAGAGTATTTATTAGAGCCTAGTTATTTCATAAGTGTATGCTTCCTAAACTTTAAAAATGTAGTAAAATTAACCAAAATAATTTCATATACTATTCTCAAAGACAAGCATGACTCATATTTAAAAAATTTTTATAATGTTTGTTTATTTTTGAGAGAGAGGGAGAGAGACAGAGTGTTGGCTGGGGGGTGGGGTGGGCAGAGAGACATGGAGACAGAATCCGAAGCAGGATCCAGGCTCTGAGCTGTCAGCACAGAGCCCGACGCGGGACTCGAATTCACAAACCATGAGATCATGACCTGAGCCGAAATTGGATGCTCACCCAACTGAGTCACCCAGGTGCCCCAAGCATGACTCTTATTAAATAGATTCATTTATTTATTCTTTCAACCAATATTCTGGGATGCTCTTTTGTCTGAGGGATGTTGAATGCCTTGAAGCTCCACTCGGGGCTTCTCCCAGGCGGGTGAGGAGGTGATGTTTTCTCCTCCTGAGTTTGGAAACAGGTCACTTTCAGAAGCCCACTTACCTCTACTTTTCCTTATTATTACTTTTGAAGATTTTATTTTTCAGTAATCTCTATACTCAGTATGGGGCTTGAACTCACAACCCCAAGATCAAGAGTTACACACTCCACTGACTGAGCCAGCCAGGGGCCCTCACTTTTCCTTATTATTTAGGAAGAAGATATATAAGGGCCTTCCCAAGGACACATCCACTTCCTACCACTGGGAAAAGACCCTGGACATCAAGAACTAAGTAGCATTCAGATTTCTCAATTCAGTAGTCAAGGCCCATTCCAATCTGATCTAAGTCTGCCCTTCAAATCTCATTCATTCACCAAAATATTTTTTAAATTAATTAATTAATTTATAGAGGGCGTGAGTAGGGGAGAGGTGCAGAGGGAGAAAGAGAATGTATTTTTATTTATTTTAAAAAATCTTTTTAAGTTTACTCATTTATTTTGAGAGAGAGAGAGAGAGAAAGAGAATGAACACATGCAAACATGCAGGGGAGGGGCAGAGAGAAAGACAGAAACCCAAATAGGCTCCTTGCCATTGGCGCAGAGCCTGATGTAGCACTTGAACTCACAACTGCCAGATCATGACCTGAGCCGAGATCAAGAGTCTGACCCTCAACTGACTGCCATCCAGGGGCCCTGAGAATCTTTTTTTTTTTTTTTTAGATGTTTATTTTTGAGAGACAGAGAGAGCACACACACACACACACACAAACACACACACACACACATACACACACGCACACAAGGTGCAGGGGAGAGGCACAGAGAGAGAGAGGGACAGAGGATCCAACCAAAGCAGGCTCCACCCTGACAGCAAAGATCCAGATTCAGGGCTTGAACTCAGGAACCGTGAGATCATAATCTGAGCCAAGATCAAGAGTCCGATGCTTAACTGACTGAACCTGACTGAACCATCCCAGTGGCCCAGTTCACCAAATTTCTATTAAGAATGTATCATGTGCCAGACATTTTCACCCATACAATCCTTCAGTTCTGACCAAACGAATCCAGTGTTCCTGGTAAATACGAAATATACATTCCTGCTTCCTTACCTTGGCTCATGCCATTCCTCTCTCTTGAGAAACCTTTCTTGCTGTCTGCTTACTGAATGAATCCTATCCAGGACTCAAGATCCAGCTTGATTAACTTAAAGCAACCGCCAAACATCCCATCTGTGTCAGGTACAGTTCTCGATTGAGTAGCTTCAACACCACACACACAGGCCCAGATATCAAAGAGCTTATAGTTTGGTCAGAGAGACAGATAGTCATAAAACAGTCCAGAAGAGAGGGTGATTCATTGTTTTCTGTGTGTGCATTTGGGGACAGGGGGCTGTGGGGGGGGGGTGATGAAAGGCTTCACAGAAAACACGCTCTGGAACAAAGTGTTTTGTTCGTTTGCTTTTTAAATTATCTATTGCTTATTCTGTCCAAATTTTTGCCTTGAAAAGTTTAAAACCTATAGAAAAGCTGCAAGAAAAGAACAATGAGGAGCCATTTACCCTTCACCTATAATTGCTCTATTGTTCAGACTTCACCACCACATTCCCTTTTTCTATCTAGATATACAAGCACACATATTTGTTTCCTTGTTTTTTTCCTGCTGGACCCATGGGTTGTTAATTGCAGTTATAGCAACACTGTAGCCGTTCAACGTTCAGCACAGCACGTATCTCCTAAAAGCAAGTACATTCTCTACGTAACCAGGATACAAGGGCCATACTCAGCAAAGTTAACATGACCTAACCTTATTATCTCATATATAATCTATATGCGAAATTCACGAATCCTCCCAATAAGGTGACTTGGAACATTTCACATGTGCACATCAACATTTGTAATGGTTTTTCTCCCCCTTCATCCAGGATGGAATCCAGGATCACAGGTTGGATTCAGTTCTCATGCCTCTTCAGCATCTTTTCATTTGATACAGTTCCCAAGCCTTTGGTTTGGCCTTTCCTGACATCAACACTGTTAGGGAGTCCAGGCCAGTTTTGCAGAACATCTTTCAGTTTGGATGTGTTTGATCGTTGCTTCGAGGTCCGACTCAGGTGAAATGCTTTTGCCAAGAATACTACCGGAATGTGTCATTCTCAGTACATCACAGTGGGCACATAGGATATGTTTGTTTGTCCCATCAAGGATGATGATAATCACCATCGTGTTAAGGTGACAGTAGCTGGCTTTCTACGTTGTTGGAAGGTAACTTTTACTCTTTGTAATCAATAAGAAATATGTGTTGCGCAGTGTTGAGGGAAGTCTTCAAGAGGGCATAACTGCTGGTTGACCTTCGAGCTGGGCCTGAGGCCATCTGAGGTTCCTCATCTCCTTCCCTGTCTTTGGAATCCTTGGAATGTGCACTCCACTGGCCTTCCCTGCACTAGAAGCTGCCCCAAAGACATAGCCTTGAAACAGTAGTGCCATGCTGAGACCACCTACATAGTTTATATGGCTGTACCCAGTTAAGGCCTTTATATACACTTTTAACATTCTGGCAGGTGGGTGGGGAGATCTACTCATCTTGTAGCTGCGCTAGATAAACTTTGTAAGTTTCCTTGTTTATTAAAACTGCCACCTACCAACCTGGAGCGGTCTGCCTCTTTCTTTGATCTCTCCTTGCCCTGCGTATATGGGGGATCGTTTGTGAACCAACAGGTGGTACTTGGAGTTTGGGAGAATATCTTTGGAATAGACTTGGAAGGATGAATACGGGTTTTCCAGGCAGACAAGAAGGGGGTGGGGAACCCAAGGGCCTTAAGGTGGTGGTGGGAGTTGGCCTCCCTGAGGTCTGAGCTCAGAGAGTAGTTCTGTGTGTGTGTGTGTGTGTGTGCGCACTTAATGTTTATTTATTTTTGAGATAGAGCATGAGGGTACACAGGCAGGGGAGAGGGGAGAGGGGCAGAGAGATGGAGACGGAGAATCTCAAGCGGGCTCCATGCAGAC